TTTCTGAATGGATGGATGCCTCTCCATAGCTCTTAAAATCACATTACTGAATGTGAAATAACACTTTAAAACCACTGAACTAACATAATTAAGTCAAGCCAAATTCAGTGATTATTGATGGATCTTTTCACACCTATAAAATCAGAGAGGAGGCTATAACTGGAGCAAGGCAGGACCATAAATGTAGAGGAAGAAGAGTTCATAAGTGGAAGGTAGTAAAAGAGGTAAACATTAACATTTGTGTCATAAAGCCCAGGATACGGCACACAGCACACCATCCAGGCTTGCAACAGGAAGGCCCGCATGATTTTTTACTGGCTTAAGACTAAATACTAAAAATGTATTGCTCCAGAAAGTTTACAGCGACGACATGAATATTCCAGAAATAACAGCATTTTATTTCTCTTTGATTGTGTGATGTTTGGATAATTGTAGTGTAAATCTAAATGCTCTCTAAGGGATATTTATGAGCTGAGTGTAAAAACTACAACATGTAAGTTCTCATGTAAGAGAGCTGAACGTATAGCTTACGATGTTCTGCCAAAAATGTGAAATCTGGAGCAAGGAGGACAGAGAAAAACAATTTGACTTGTTTCACCGACAGAGAAAAACGACTTAAAATGGCAGTAAATAAAATTAATCTTTTGATCCCTTGAGGAAAAATGAAGGCGGGAGGAAAGATCTTTCATAGGGAATTCTGGGTACAATCTTACAGATGTACTTCATCTGAAAAGGGCACATAAGCAGGCTTCCTTCTATAAAAAAAAAAAAGAAAATTAACAAAATAAAACTGAGGGTGTTTCTGAGAAATATAGATATTTATCCAAGAAATTCACTTTGCTCTCAGAGCTTTGGTTTTGCCGTTTTTATCTTAATATCTATTCACAGGTTAGTTCTCAAACACACACACACACACCTTGGATTTTCTATCACGGTAGGGACTTTCCATTTATTTAGGAATATTTTCTATCAGCCAACCCTAACCTTAACCCTTACACATACACACACTCACCTTTCTGCTTTTTAAAAAAAAATTATTTATTCATTTTTTTTATTAATGTGATATTTAGTATGTTCATCTGTTTGCTGGCCACAATGTAGGTGCTTTCACTTTTCACTATGCTTGTGGGGACATTTGGTCCCCACAAAGTACACCAAACCTGACCTAGACACACAGACACACATCTACAAAAGAACAAGTAAACATTGATCTATGGTAAACTTCACATTTCTGCAGTTTTACCTACACTTTCTCTTACACAAACACAATACAACAACAACCCTATTTGCATCTCTCACAACAGATGCACACACACACACACACACACACACACACACACACACACACAAACACACACAGACACACACACACACAATCAGATGGATTGAAGCTGCATCATATCTGCATGTGTACTTGGTAAACCACAAAAGGACACAGAGAGATAAACAGCAATGACACGGTAAACGCAACTCTCAAATCACATCCAGTTCTTTGAATACATCTTCATTTTCTCTGTACTACGTCTTGAGAAAAACAAGTCCATAAATAACCCAAATCTGCTGATATTCCCTCCACTTAATTTTGGGTCAAAAACATCATGTGGACAAAAAGTGAGGAAAATAATGTTTTTTTTTTTTTTTGTGCTTCATTGGAAACAGATTTGTAAGAAATTCCCTATAGCATCAGCAATTTTTGGAAAGTAAGAGGGCAACAAGCTGTTTTCAAAGTGAAGGGCTGATGCAATCTACATGTGCCGTTGCAGTTATGGCCGGGATGATTGACGCTTTGCATTGTCAGATGGGGCTGCCCCGGAGACAGGTGTTCACAAGCCAAAAACAGCAGTGCTGATCCCCACCTATAGCATCCTATTACCCTTTTGCAACACTACTGGCACAGCACAGGTGCTTAAAGAGTCTGGGGTTTAACACAATACAGCATGTGTTTGTGATTCAACATACAGCAGATGGTATTAATGTTGATCTTAACAGCTCAATTTATATAAATCTACTTCCTGTCATTTTGTCTATACAAAAAAAAAAGAAAAAAAAGAAGCACAACCATGGCAGTAAAGCACTATAATACAAAAGTCTGTAGGTAGAGTCAAAGCGCAACATACATACAACCCATGAGATACTTAAGCTACACTTACATACATTTCATGGAATTACACAACAAAATATATAACCCTTTACAAACTTTTTAAGGCCTATGGTGATTTCTAGTGAATATATGAAGCCATTTCCCTTCAAGTTCACACAGGTGCCCTAGCAGTTTAGTTCATCACATTAACCATGAACATAATCCACTAACATTTGACAACTGAAGAGTGCACAAATACAGCATCTTAATATCGAACAGTATCTGTTATTATGTGTAACATTTATGCAGTCATTTAAATCATATTGTAAAAACACGTTTTATTAATTATTTTCTTTTATTTAGCATTTAACTTAGAATAGTGTGTTTTTACTATATTTATGCACACTACCATTCACTACGCTTTGTAAAGGTAATCAGGACATTTACTCTGCAAGAATGAATTAAATTGATCAAAAGTGACACTAGAGACTTTTTTTTGCCGTTTTGCTTTGTTACGAAAAAACTGTATCATGGTTTCCACAAAAACATTAAGCAGTAATTAGTAAGCAATAAAAATATTGATTTCTGAAGGACCATGTGACACTGAAGTGTGGAGTAATGATTCAGCTTTGCCATTACAGAAATATATTACATTTTAAAATATATTCAAATTATAATAATATTTTACAATATTGCTATTTTTACTGTATTTGTGATCAAATAAGCGGCTTTGGAGAGCATAAAGGACTTCATTCACAAATATTAAAAATCTTACTTACGCCAAACTTTTCAACTGTAGTGTATATTTAATGAAATACAGCACTTAAAATGGAAACAAAAAAGGCTTGGGACATAAAAAAAAAATGACAAAAGGCCTTGGACACTTTCTGGTTGTCAAACTTTGTGGAACATGTTCATAGTTAATATGATAAACTACACCGTGGCTCCTCTGATAGGACATCTGTGTGAACTTGAGGGAAACTGATTTCATAGATCCATGAAAAATGACCTTGAGACTTGAGTTTCTCTGGTTCAGTGTCCAAATACGTTTTTTTGGGGTCTTTATGCGCTCTAGACAGGAAGTGTATAGGACTTGTCATAAGATGCATTAGATTGCATGTCTCTGTCTCTCTCAGTGTTTGTCTCCATCTCTCACTCTCCTTCTTTCTCACACACACCCACTCACAGTATTCCAAACAGTTCTTTTAACCATTATGGGATCTTTATGTGAAGTGGCGGTTCGTATGAAACACTCTGGGTGGGCGTCATATCTTCAGATTAGAAGGACCACAGGCCACAGGCCAATGACAGAGACGACGTCAGATCCATTACACGACTGAGCCAAATCATCATCCTGCACTGTCAACAAAACTCCATCCACAAACCAGGACCAACCTGAGCAGTGCCATCAGATTTGAGGCACAACTGATCATCCCTGTGGGAAAACAGTAACTAATACAAGAAAAATTAAGGCAAGACTGCAGGCAAAACCATTGTTTTTTTCATGCACTAGTCCATTTTGAGATTTTGGGCTATTTTTTGTTGTCTTTCAGACTAATGGAAAGAAAAACAGACATTTAAATGTTTATTTCATTACACTTTATCTATTTGCATCTGTAGATTGCAATATATACAGTATACAATTACAATATATCTGAAAGCTGTTTTCACAAAATGAGTGAAAACTCACGTTAGAAATCTCCACTTCACACTGCAAAAAAAAGAAATCTTCTTCCTCAGTTTTTGTCTTGTTTTCCAGTACAAATATTATACATACACATACACATTCTTAAATCAAGATACATCTACTTGAGAAGCAAAATTACTTAATGTATTTGGCTTTATTTTCTGAAAAAAAAAAGATCAAAATGAAGTGACTTTATGCTTAAAACAAAGAAAAATATCTGCCAATGGAGTAAGAAAAATAAACGTGTTTTCCATTTAAATTATGTTTATTTTTCTTACCCTTTAAGCATAGTCACTTAATTTTAATACATTTTTGAACACTTTTTATCATATGCCATTTTGCCTATCAAGCAATTGTATCTTGATTTGAGAATATATAGATATTTGAACTGGAAAATAATAATAATAATAATAATTTTTGTAGTGCAGTAAATCTTAAATACACCAAACTGTCAAGTTTTTAATCCTACCTACATTCTGTTTTTTTTTTTAAACAGAGGGCATTGTGCATATATAGAATTTGTGGAGTTTATATAATTATATATTTCAAATCATGATGAATTAGTTTTTTTTTTTTTTACATTTTTTTCTGATTTATGGCGAGCTAAACAGAGACATCCACATCCCCTCTGTAAAAAATCTTTAACTCTAATATGTCAACAAAATCAAACATGAATTTTGAACCTGGCTTTATATAATGTATGGAGATAAGTGCATTTATTTAATTAGATAATGTCTATTTTGCGACATTTCAGAAAACAACTGACGTAATGTACTGTGATTGGTGATATCTATTCATTACAATTTTTTAACCCTATTCACCTGTAGTGTCTTGCCTTAACCCCATCCACATGCCATTTCATGCCTTCCAGAAAGCATATACGGCTTTAAAACCCATATTAAGCATACAAACTAAGCTTAGTCTATGTTTGTGAAAGCGATCTCATAGTAAGTATAACAACAAGCAACGTGGGAGTAAAGCATCAACATTTAACTCTCAACTTAAGATGATGGGAATTTCAGAGCAACGGACAAAGTCTGGACCCCATGATCTCATTTCGGCCTGTAATTTACCAATGGCACAGCCTCCATACTAATTTCCACAGTCAAACTGTCAATTTGATGTCTTATGGGAAGTGTAGGTAGACACCTTGCAGACTATGTACAGGGTTTCCCCAGCATACACAACAAAGGAGCTCAATGGCACATTTGTTGGTGACTTTCTCTCCTCGTTTTCATTTAACTCTTTCATTTTCCGCTATACATCTAAGTAGTACGCCCACCCTCTCTGACATACCGAAACCACACACACTCACACATATGTCCATGTGCACACACACCATTTTGCCTTTCCATTTGCTCATGGGCCCCCAGATATAAGTCAATGTCTTGAATTACTCACCCAATAAGGGCCACCATCTGCTCCACTACATGTGCTTGCTGAAGGTATCACAAAGACTTTCTGTATGAGAGAAAGACAGAATCACTCCATCAGTTATCCACTGGGTGATACACTCGTAACCACATCCGATGCCCCCCTATGGACCCTCTAACACAGCAAATGAGCAGGCAGTGGTCAGCAGAAAGTTTTTTTTTCTGTGATCAGAGGTTAAAACACAACATGACACATCTTTGAGCAGACAGACATGGAAAAGGCCTTATACAGATGGCGTGAGCCTTACAAGGCCCAGGGCTACAGCTAATACACTCTAGGGAGGGGGACTCTGAAAAAAAAAAAAAAAAAAAAAAAAAAAAAAAAAAAAAAAAAGGATTAAGAAACAAAAACATGTCAGAAAACCTGACTGGAAGTAAAGCAGGATCAAAGATGGCTCCTGTCCAGTCTAGAACCTGCTGACTCACAAGTTCAGTCATGATAAAAGGCAGGATGGGCGGCGTGGGTGTTGGGGGTCGGGGTTTGTTGGCTGGTGCCTGGTGCAACTCAATCAGTCGGGACTTACTCATTTATATATATATATATATATATACTTTAAAAAATAATAAATGTTACTTAATTTAATGTATTTTCATAACGAGTGTTTAACTGTATGTAACTGTTTTTCCTTCTTTCCATTGTTCCATCAACAATAATGATTTTTATTTCATGTTTTTAATAAATGTTTTCAATTTGTTGAATAATTTATTTTTTATGAGAGATTTGTGGAAATTTTTATCTGTATGTAACTGAAGTTTCCTTGTTTCCATTGTCATATCACCAATAATGATTTTTATTTAATGTTTTTAAATAATTGTTTTCAATTTGATGTATAATTTTTTTTTTTATATGAGGGGTTTGTGGAATTTTTATCTGTATGTATCGTATGTTTTCTTGTTTCCATTGTTCCCATCATCAATAATGATCTTTGATTAATGTTTTTACATTTTGTTATATGTTTTTTTTTATATGAGGGGTTTGTGGAAATAAAAAAATACATATTTCACACACACACACACACACACACACACACACACACACACACACACACACACACACACACACCAGTTCCACAAACATTTCAAATGAAAATAAATTATATAAAATATTATTTTATAGCCATTACAGATAGTAACTCTTAATGACAAGGAAAAAAAAACATGATGTATATGGTTATGTTATAGTACAACTGCGTAAATACCCATATTTCTTTTTTCATTATATACCAAAAGAGCATAATGTGCAAAATATGCTAATACTAAAACACGAGTAGAGCAGTAGATCTCCGTAAGAGCTTGTCAGAATAGGTGTGGGTTAATCCCAATTAAATAAAAGAGAACATTTGAGACGAGTGTGTCATGTTATATACAAAACCATATTGTGTCTGAAACACACCTGATCCACAGGTGAGGCCATTCAGACATTGTAGATGTATGACTAACACTGACACTATCACACACTTTCTGTCTTTCACATGATTCACACTATCACTCTGTCTTCATCCATTTACATACACACCAATGCACAAACTCCTGCGTCTCTGTCACTTCCCCCTGCCTAACCCTCTCTCTCTCTCTCACACACACACACAACTTTACTGTAACAGTCCAAACTGCTCAAATCTATTCTTATCAGAGCATTGTTTTTATTGTTGTTATTCTAAATGTGCAGTTTAACATGTGAATACAATTATTATGAGACATAAGTATTAATTACATATTAAGTGGGCTTGAGAAAAGATGGTATCTGTACACAAACTTGCATTTGTCTAATAATGATTGTATACAATCTTGCTACAGTATAAGAGAATAAAGGTCTAAGAACGAAGAAACAACATTAAAATCTCAGACAACTACATGTTTTAATGAGATTTATTTCATTTGAGTGTGTAAGAGAGTGTTTATTTGTCACCGTGTGGGTTGATTTCAAACACTGATACGAAGGCAGCATTTTCACTTTGAGTGTTTGGTCATAACGGTTATGCTAACAGGCTGTGAGTAAACTCTGCTGAAATTACTAGATGAAAAATTTCTGTTCATATATTTCAGGCTGACTTCATCATTATGAATGTGAAGAGGCAAAATTAATAATTAATTCACTTTTTTTTTCCATTTTGATCCATAGCCATTTACTGTGCAGGTATTTAAATACACTTTTAAAATATAGAAACATTTAAATGCATTGGTTCAATATAAAACAAAGAGTAGCCTGTTTGAAATATATTAAAATTGAGTCTGACTTAAACCTGCACTACATCATTTTGCAAAAATGAAGAAAAACTACTGAAAGTATGCATTACAGCATATTTGGAGAATTTCCATCATAATTTAATACATCCGAGTATGAAATGAATGTCAGGGCGTCTCAATTGAGAGGCTATAGCTGCAACTTTCACAAAATGGAGGTTGATAAAACAAAATGGCCGCCTCTGATTTTACTTTAGAGTCATAGTTGATCTGAATGCTCCTGCTGGCATCCAAACTCCACAAATATGAAGTTATGGAAACATTACACTTTTGTAATATATATAAAAAGAGATGAATACCTTATATGTATGGTTATATATGTATTCATATTTTTAAATATACACAGGCTACATATGGAAGCATATATTGTACATTATTTTATATATATATATTGTACATTTCATTTTTTACCTATTTATTTGTCTTTGTTTGCATTAAAGTAATTAAGTAAAGTGCCCATTATCTTTGCACATTTTCAAATGTCTGTATGTCAGGAACTGCTCATTCAAATTCTTTGCTGTCAGCTTCTTGTTAGGTGATTATCGTGAATATGAATCAGATACACAACAGCCCAATTATATAGAAGTAAGCCTGTGAACACATACATCTCACAAACTGCATGAATGAAATAATTTCTTATTTTCTATCGGGGCATCGGCATCACTTTTGTATGTTTTTAAGTAATGTCTTCACTCACCTCAGCGTGTGTCTTTATCATGGTTTTTCTTACAGCACTGAAAATAAATTCCAGAAAGGGTTTTCAAGGTGATCCATGACATAGATATGAGATCTGAAATATACAAAAAGATCAGAAAGGTCTAGGAAAGCATAAGAAAAAGAAACGCTTCAAAATTCTTTTGTTCTAAATATACATTTTAAATTAATGCAATGCAATATAGTGCTGCTTGCAATGATGGTTACTTTTTTCTTTATTATTAAAGTAATATAATATAATAATATACGATAACACACAGAAGAATAAGAATGCTTCACTCGGATTCCATAATAAAGCTGTTTTTTTGAAGTGGAAGCTCTGAATAAAACTATGCATTACTGTCAAACAGTGACATATTCCTGCTATTACTAATCATCTTGAAAGGACTTTTATTCATCAGAACACTTACAGAAAGACGGCTAAGAATTCCTGAGGAATCTCTCGGATTGCAAAGTCTGTTCTGATGGCAAAGATCTAAACAAGAAAAGCATTAAAAGAAAAGTGTAAGAGAAAAGTGTTATCAGAAAAATGAGTCAGACACAAATGAACACAAATGACTGCTAAAAAGATTAAGAGTTAGAAACTCAGTTTACCCTTGTGAACGAAAAAACTATTTTTTAAACTGTGATCTACATTTTTATGCAGACTAAATTCAAGGAAAACATGACAGATATAACCATTTATATTTTAACATTTTTAAGGATTAAAATTGTATTAATTTGATGTGTTTAACATGCAATTTTATATTCAAAGACTTGAAATGATTTAACAAACACACTATACATGAAAAGGAGGAAAAGCATTTATAAAACTGAGCTTTCACATTTGATCAAAACATTAATAATTATTCAGTAAAATAATTTTCATCAATTTATCTAGTGACATTTTTTAAAAGGCTTAAAAGCTGAATATTATTATTATTTTTGTTGTTGTTAAAAACTCTCTCTTTGTGCTCTTTGCAGAGCAAAATTAATTTATAGCTTTTCAATGTTTTACAGAGCTCAAAAAATGAATTAACTTCTAGTCAAAATTATTTCTATACTACTATGCCAACAGGCAAACAGAAATGAAGTTATGATAATACAGAGACAGTAACAAAGACAGTAATGATAAAGAGATTTTTCATTCAATTTTAAATATTAACTGTTTGATACAGAGTTAAAGAATAAGTGAAATTAAATATATTTTAGGGATTTAAAGCAACCTGTCACATTAGATTTTTAGTCAAAGAACCTATTTCACCTAAACCCATTGGTAAAAGTGAGACCAATTTTAATGCACTTAAAAAAAACTGCTTGCTCAAATTTCTTTCATGCATCTGCCATGCTTCTGTTATTTTTGTTTTAAAAAACAAAAAGTTAATGAACACATCTGCAAAGTAGTAATAGTATTATCTAATGTTTGATTAAATAATAACCCAATTGTAGTGCAAAGACAATGAGCTAGATTTATTAAATCATCTGCGTAGTTTAGTTAGACATTACCAGTTTAAAATCAATCTCAACTCTTGCTCTAAACTATTCTAAAAAAACCCTGTAATTGTTCACATCACAGTCATTTTTAGGAATCTTATTTCTTCATTTTTAATTGTTTAACATGATTTGGGAGGGTTCTGTTAACACACACAGGACAAAACGTTACCACATATTCTGAGAATATCTTACACAATCATTTTTTTTTAAATGGTTTGTGCAAACGTACATCTGAATGAACTGATCTTGATGAAACAATTAGAACACATCAAAACATCTTAAGAATAAGGAATCAGATTTAAGTGGATGTTAGCAAGTATACACACTGATAAAGCAGGAGGAGAATAGAACAACGCTTCTTATTTTCTATTGGCAAGATTTTAAGCACACAAAAAAAAAGTTTGGAATAGTGCATTGTTGGACTTTGTTGTTTGTACATTTTATTTTATTTATTTATTTTTTAATCCCCTCACTAATTTAAAAGGGACTCCTACATTATTAGAAGAAAACCAAAGAGAGAGAGAGAGGGAGAGAGAAGGTATGTGTTCACCTAAGAGCAAGTAGTTAAACTACACTAATTACATGAACTTACAGTTCTGTGTCACACTTCTTAGAAAAAGAACAAGATAACTATATCATTTAAAAAAAAACAATTTGGTGTAATACTACTCTAAGAACTACCGAATCTTATTTTGCAAATGCATAATTTTTTTTGCAGGATTTTTCCCAAAAACATTACATTCAGTAAAATGCATATGTATCTTACCAAGCAGATTTAATTCTCGTGTTATACTAAAAAACAAATCTACAAATATCTCCAAATGTTTAACCCTTGCCAGAAAGATCCATGAACTTTTGAATGACACATTTTAAAAATTTCCATTTGAATTGGAATGGGGGACAAGACCAGACGCCTAGGTGCTTCCAGTGAGTCACCGAAAGCTTGAAATATCTGAGGCTTTATTCCTCACAAAAGGCTATTTTACAGAAACGACATGGACTTTCCTGCTGATACCCTTTCTGGGAAGAGGGGTGGTATATATAAAAACACTATATAATGAAAACAAATCTAGAAAAACATAATAACAGCAGATTCTAAGGGAAAAGTTTTAGATGTTTGCATAAACACCAGCATTAATGTTTAGCAGACATGAATACTTTTAACAGGTTTAAGCAACAAATTGACAGATTTCATTTTATTTAATTTATTTTGATTAGTCTAACTGACTGGACCAGATTAACTCTAAGTGCAATGACAAGTTTAGATTGACAAGCAAACTAGGTTAATATTTTTAAAACAGCAGAAATTTGTAGTAGCTGGATTTGCACTTACTTTAAAGTTTCATTTATCATATATATGGATATATCTTATAATGAACATTTAAGAGCATTTAAAAGTATTTTTATTATACAACGAGAATAATTATTATGCTATTAAATAGGTGATCGAGGTGTTAACAAAAAGACAACAAATTATTCTAAACAATATTTAACCTATTCAAGCTATTTACTAAGATTTAGCTTGTTGTAAAAACACTAGATTCGTCTCTTCTATAAATGCATTTCAAAATCATTCTGCACATATTAAACAATCAGCATTTATCTCAGGATCAATGCATTTAGATGTTTTTCAATCAAATAATTTTTTGCAGTTCAATGCATACATGTATAATTCTCAATTTATCTCGTATGATCGAAAATAAACGTTTAACATCCTCTGGTCATAAAAATGAGAAGGGGCGCTGCGAGAATCGCTGACAGGTGGCAAATACAATTAATACATTGATGACATGGGCCAATGAGATCATATTTAATTCATTTACTGTACATAGGCTGAGAATGCTTTTTGCTGCTAGAGATAAAAGTACATTAGCACTCGATATAATGGTCGAAGGGCATGGGAGGGGATTTTTACTGAATCAAACCTAATATGGACATCAAATCGGTCCAAGAAACGCTGGAACGGGAGAGAAAGGTGGGGTGATGGGGAGCAGGCAGAACAGCTGTGTTTTGATTGGATGAACTTGAAAATTCCGAATTTGTTCTGTCCAATCACAAAGACTGTTTGGACACATAGCAACAGCACATTTCATTCCACTGCCGTTTTTTTCCCCTCTCTCTTTCTATAGATTCTTCTGTTCATTTTTACAGTAAACCAGACATAAAAATGGCTGTCGAAAATGTCAGGTTGGTAGGAAAGGAATGTCTTTTGTTCAGAGCTTGAACACTCTGGATCAGCTTTAAACCGCAAGATGAAAGCGTTTGATTAAAGAGCGACATTCATGCCCATCCCCGTTACAAACACATCATTCTGCTCCGAGCAGTGAGTCACTTTCAAACGGGCATAAGAAACTGCTGAGTAATGTCAAGACTAAATCACTGCATTCAGGTCCAGTCACAAGTCTCTCATCTGTCTTCAAAGGTATCTTTTATCTCCAGACATCTGTATACACGATTCACTCGCCGCCCATCTACCCTACACCGAACAGATGTAGCTAAATGTGTTTATATTTCCAATATTAGCAACAAAACGGACCCCATACGACGGACTGAAAGTTATTCTCAGAATGTTTTGTATTGCTTGTGCCACTGACTAATTCCCCTTAGTCATTTATCTGGCTGCACAGCCTAACTTTATCCCAGAAAACAGTGCAGAAAACTGATGAGATCTACATCGAGCAGCTATTTCAGTTTTATTGAGCGGTACACATGTAATCATGCTGTTATGTGACGTATTCATTATTTTAGTGGGAAGTTTCCCTCTCTAGCCACAACAGTGGCCATCTGACACAATGAATGAATAACCAGGCTGGTTGTTCTTTTTTATTTCCATCTATTTCAAACTTTTTCTCATGCACATGGAAAATTACCATTTGGCAAAGCGTTCAGCCACCACAACCTCAGCATCCCTCAGGGCAGGGTTTACCAGCAATTACATTTAAGAGGTCTCGTCAAAGGTGCGCCTTCAGTAAAACCATGGGAGACAGTTTCTGCTATCTGATACGTTTCCAGCGCTATTCAGCATTTTTTAAAGCTTTTGATGTTGGTCATCATCGCCTTTTTTTTTTTTTTTTTTTTTTTTTTTTTTCCTTTTTTTTTTTTTGCTTTTTTCTCCTTAGGGCTTGTTTTTAAGTTCATAAGTTCAGAGGGCATATAATTTTTTTGGAAGCAGTTTTTGGCATGACATGGATTTACCAGAATACATTTTTGTACAAACTTCTGAATGGTTTTACCCCAAAAATCCTATACTTATATTTAGTGAAGCATCATAAATCATGACCGACTTAGAGAAATGACGAAGATTGACGCATATAGATGAAAGACTTCCCTAATCCACATTCACACCTAATAATATTCCTCTTTCCATGCCACATTCTACAGTTACAGCGTCCCCTCACGTCAATGGCACCTTGGTAACAATAGCAACACTCCTATACATACACCATCAACATTTACCTGAACCCAGCTAAAGCTAATAGTTATTTAAAGGAACAGTTCACCCCAAAATGAAATTTTATGCACTTTATTTTTTCTGTGGAACACAACTTTTTTGTGTGCATATAATTAAAGTCAATGGGGTCCGAAACAACATTGGACTACATTGACTTTCAATATATGGAAAAAAAAAAACAGACACTTTTCAAAATATCTTCATTGTTTCACAGAAAAAAAAGCTAATCATACAGGTTTTTAACTACAAATGGGTGAGTTAATGATGACAGAATTTCTTTATTGGGGTTAATTAACACTTTAATAAAAAAAAATATCTTTAATATATATATATATATATATATATATATATATATATATAATTATTTAATAAATTGGTTAGGTAAAAGATTTCAGTGGTAGCTTAGAGTTTATTTGTATCAGTTTCCGTTTCATTTACACAAAAAGTTCATTTGTCTGTCTGTGGAGCAAGTGAGTTTGCAAAAGCAAATATTACGCATGATCTAATACCGGAAAATCAGATCGCCAGCTGGGAGAATCACAGGAAGATCGTAATCAC